ATTATCTAACATGTGGTTAATGTCAGACTTCCACGTAGCTTCCCACTCTCTCTCTCTCTCTCTCTCTCTCAACACACTTTTTATTTCAGAAAATCTCTACCAAAAAAGTATTGTTTTATTACCAGAAGTTACTTGACATCAATCCAGAATTTATAAATGTATTAAATTGAACTTGTTTAAAATTCTATAAAATAATTCTTGGTAGATACGGGTAAATATTGCACTATATTTGCATTTAAAATAATTAATTTCTTTCTCCAGTTTATGCTTTGGCGTGGAGTAGAGTCCCTTTGTTTAGCTTCACATTCAATAGACTTTTCAATTGAATTGTTTGGCGAAAACCAAACCAATTATTGTAATGTGAGTACAATTTATTTACTTTCTATTATGTCTGATATGTTTAAGTGAATTGAGTGTTAAATGATTTGATTAAGTATTAAATAAAACGCGATTTTTATTACACAAAATTGAGTTTACAATACATCCCAAGTCATTTATCATTTTTTACCATCTATCTTTTTATCTCATACATTAAATATATATTTAGTTTATATACCCCTTAAAACTTTACGCTATTTATATCATTGCAAATGACAAAATTGTTTAGTGTTATCTGAATTTGGAGTTAATTTTCAATAATGATTTATATTATATAAATTATGTATAAGTTCACATAAATTAATGGGTTTTTGTGTGATTTTACCAAAGTTTATATTAAAACGATAACAAAATTATTGTAAATAATCGTAAGAATATATCGATTTTGATTATAATGTTGACAGTATTTGATGTTTTAAACAAATATTACAGTATATCAAGAATTTCCGTGTTTGATATTTTAGATAAAAGTTAAATTATATTTGCAAAATATTCTTTATTAGTATTTCTGTGTCTACTAATGCTAGTAGCAAATTAAGCAGATATTGTGTAATTATCTAAGTATTTATAGCAGTTTTAGAAGTTTGGTCTATAAGTGACAACTATTTTTTAATCGCAAGAAAATGAATGCAAACTATACTCACAAGAATGAGTTGGCGATGGCCTGGAATAACCTGAGTTGTGTCCACCCGGCCCTGTGTTACGGCAAAAACAAGACAATCCTGTATTCACTTAGCGGTCAAATCAATTTCCATACATTGACGGCACTAATGGGTCCGTCGGGTGCGGGAAAGACCACACTTTTGAAGTGCGTTAATATGCGTTCAAACTCTGGCCTCACGGCTGACACACAGATGTTTGTCAACAAATACACGGATTTGAGGACTTGTTTTATAATGCAATCATCCGATGAACATCTTTTCATGGGTTTAACCGTCAGGTAAATTGAGATTGAAATTGAGTTTTATGGATAATTATCAGAAAAAATTGCATTTATTATGTTTTCAACCATAGATTTTAAATAATATTTACATTTATTAATAGCATTGGCTGTTAATCTTACAAATTAGATTGAAATCTAAAAATACCATAAAATGTGTGTTAGTAGTGAAAATAGTGTACAATATAGTGCAATGTAATGGTTATTCTCAACCCTATTTTACATATCTAAGAACCCATTATCTAACATGTGGTTAATGTCAGACTTCCACGTAGTTTCCCACTCTTTCTCTTAGGCCCTGCATTCCAGAGTTAGGACAACACTGGTATATAAAACTCGACCCATAATTACATACAATTATTTTTATAAACAATAAATTGAAAAATTTCTGACATTTTTGTAGAGAATCGCTATTATTTGCGTCAAAAATCAAGAATTACGGCAAAACGCGGACCAAATTTAGGGACAGTTACGCTCAGACGGGAAGTTCATTGCTATGTCTGGAGTTGTGGCCGGAAAACGAGTCGGAGATCAGCGGCTCGTCGTTCACCGATTGCGGCGATCCCTGCGATAAGAAGGGGTCCTTTGATCACGACTTAAATGTGCGGCGAATACTATCGGAACTGCTTCTGGAGGACTGCGCCGGCAATAGTGTCCAGACATGCAGTGGTGGCGAACAGAAGCGCCTATCAGTTGGTCTGGAATTAGTTCAACAAAATAAACCAAATCTCTTGTGTATAGACGAGCCGACCAGTGGTCTGGACAGCAATGCCTCAGAAATGGTATCATTTTATATGATAGACATACAGTATATAGCGTTACTTTATATCATTACCATTAGTATCATATTTTATTATTAATTTAATTTCAAGTTTATGTTAATTAATATTCATTTACTTACGATTTTGAGAAATCTGATTGGGATTTATGTTTTGCCATAAATAATATTGAAATGCATGAATTGGATTTGAAATCATATGATTTTATAAGAAAATTAAATAATCTCTCATTAACTGTATTATACAGTATAAAGATTTGTATGGAAATAATTTATAACATTAATATTATGTAATAATGTAAGAGTAACCAGATCTAATTTTACAAAAAAGAGGAGATTTTACCAAATTTTTAGCAATAATAGAGGATAAAAGGAGGATACAGCTTTTTTACATTAATTTTATTCCAGATTTGACTGATATTTTGTATTTTTTTAACAACAAAAAAAAGAGGAAATTAAAAGTCCTAATAGAGGAAATTCCTTTTAAAATAGGACATCTGGTCAGCCTAAATACTGTATCTGAAATATAGTGTCCAAAAACTAAATTTATATCTAGTTTTGTATTGCTATGAATAGTTCAATACATCCTTGAAATTACCATAAAATATTTTAACGGTGTTTAAAATTTTTATTTGTAATTATATCATAAATTATTTAAAACATATTTATGTAATCATATGTCAAATCAAATTCTGGCACTTTGGGCAATGCATAACATGAGGCAAGTGCTTGAGCTATGCACTCAAGCAATCATCTATATGTACAAAATATTTAACTTTGACAGTATCAATTTATGCCCTGGGACATGTTATGCAATCCAAATGCCCAAGTACAAACCTAGAATACTTTTTGATACTTTTTATGGTTACTTGCAAAATTTACTTTTCATGCGCGCTAATCATATATCTGCAATATTGTAATTGCATGACAATTTATAAATGCCCCATACAGTTATAGAGAAATAATATTTTTATAATTAAATATTTTTAATTATTTATATTTGATAAGAATTACATTAAATCTTAAGTATAATTAAATAAAATAAATAATTTATTTTAAGAAATAGAAATTAAAAATACATTTGTAATCAATTCACAGGTAATCCAATGTCTGAAACAGCTATCAGAGAGACATCGGATGGCAATCGTGACATCAATACATCAGCCAAACTCTCTGCTCCTCTCAATGTTTGATCAGTTATATGTGCTCTCAAAGGGCGGTCACTGTGTGTTCGCCGGACGACCCAATCATCTCAAAGACCATCTCAACAATTGTGGCATTACTTGCGCTCCAGATATCCTCCCAATTGAGCTCTTGTTGAAGATATCATCAAAATTTCCAAACTCTGTCTTTAAGAAAAGGGAACTCACTTTAAATGTGATATATTTAACATATATTACCACAAAAAACACCGAAAAATAGTTAAATTTTATGCAAATATCTGTTTTACAGAATAACAATAATACAAAGGAAAGTATTAACACAACACTTGTGTTGGAAAGCAATGAAATCGACAAACTTATAGAGAGCTCATGGAAACCATCGCAACAATTCAAAGAGAATTGTCTAATGAGTGGCAAACTGTCCAAAACTATTGATAAACAGACCAATTATTTTCATTTGCATCACTTTTATTACCTGTTATGCCGTGGAATCACTTGTTTTGTAAGTAAAATCAACTAAAAACCTCTAATTGTTATAAATTGTTATAAAACGTCTTTAGGTGAGATACCAATGGCGAGTGAGCGCATCTCTGGCTATATTTTCATTCAGTGTATCGGCATTTCTGCTCTATCTCTACGACACAGACATTGGCCACGAGAGCGGGTGTTTAAACCTCTTTGCCTCAAACGAGACGCCATCGATGACTACATCACAGGAACAGATGTTACATATTTTAAGCCAAGAGTCAAAAGTTGTGCTAAACCTGAAGTGCCAGTTCTTCGGCATCGCGTTCTTGCAGTTCGTGTCGATGGCCTGTACTATACTTGTGTTCCCACAGGAGGTCCGCATATTCCTCAACGAACACCACAATAAGTGGTATTCAACGAGTTCTTACTTCTGGGCCAAATCAATGGTCGAAATACCCGTCTCAGTGCTCATCGCTTACGTTTACTCATTCATCATATACTACGGCACCGGACAACCTGACCAGACATTCAGATATATATACTTTACACTCATTACGGTTAGTATTTCTCTCTTAACACAATTAGCTGTTAACTAAATTTGTTAATATACTGTTTGACTTTTATAGACTTGCGGTATGATAATCTCCAACAGTACTGGGTATCTGTTGGGCATAATATTTGCCCGTAACTATCAAGTGGCCACCACTTCGGGTGTAGCGCTGTTCCTGGTTTTGGTGCTGTTGTCGGGCTTCTTCGTGCCCCTAACCATACAGCACGTCATTGTTAGGGGTGCCAGTTATGTGTCATTCACCAAGATCATTTTTGAGTCCATTCTCATTACACTTTATGGCTTTGATCGGTGCAGTGAATCTCAAATGCCTATACTTTTACATCAGTTGAAACTCAGCGACACTCAGATGAAGGAAAACATGTATTGGATTATAGGTATTGTTAATTAATATTATATTTTTCATCACGTTTGATATCATTTGTTAATTACTTTCATTTACAGGTCATTTGATATTCTGGCGTTTGCTTGCATTGGTTGTACTCATTATGAGAGCAAATGAATTCAAATTGTCATTCTTGAGACGAAAACAGAGGTTGGATTCAATTGAGACAATGCATGACAAGAAGAGTATCACATTATCTCAATTCCGATGAAACATAAACCATTTGAAGAAACCGTTAAATTTATTGTTATTTTTACAAATTGTCAATTGTTCTATAAAAAAGTTACTGTATTCTCAAAGTATGTTATATTTCTATACATATTGTTAAACACTTAAAAGAAAACCAAATTTTTATTTAATTATATATTTTAATAACTTTTAATAACTGTTAGTTATATCGAAAAGAGTACAACAAATATCAAATTAACTGCAAAATATTTATCGATATTAAAAATAAATAAATTGTTCATTTTATAAAATGATCATCATTTTGATTATTTCTTGTGTTTAGGACTCTTGTGATTCTTACCATCCTTACCATCTTTGTCTACATTGCCCTCCATTTTCACTTTGAACCACTGTTTCCGCATATTTAGATTAATTATACTCTCTTCGAGTTCCTGTCGGCTCAGTTCCAACTGATCCCTGTTCTCGATGAACATTTTCTTCCACTTCTCGGACTTCAAGTGCAACTCTCTCTCCATATTCTTCAGTTCCTGATCTTTGGCGCCGAACTTAGCCTTATATTTGGCCACTAATTCACTTTCTATTCGATTCAATTCCGAATAGTGTTTGGTCTGAGTCTCGATCAAGAGCTGATCCAATCGTTCGCTTCGGTAGAGCTCGTAGTGCTGCGAATGTGTGGTCTCTTTCAAGTGATTCATATTCACTCGTAATAACATATCCCGAAGTCTTGTAAAGTCTGAATGGCTTTCGTTCTCCACTTTTCAAACATAAAATTTAATTTTATTTTCATACAAAAAATGCCCATTTATTTGCCGCACAAATACCTTCAACAGTACCCCACGGGTACTGTCGAGCCCTGACCTCTCGCTGGCCAACGGTCACGAAGTCATTGCTGGCCACCACAGCGAACGGCAACTTTGCGTTGCTTTTGGCGTTAATCGCCGCCACTTCCAGATCGTCGATCGGGAACCTATATATGGCGATACCGTTGTCCTCAATGTCGGCCATAATCTTGCGCTTCCTGTCGTGCATCTCCTGTTCGGTGATCAGATCCGACTTCGCTATGACTGGAATCAAATTGCACTTCGCGTACAACTCCTTCATTGTGACCAAATCGATGGCTTTGAGTCCGTGTCCCACAGGAGATATCAAATACAGACACACGTGAACTCTCGTGTCTTTGCACTTATCTCTGTGCGTTGTTTTGAGCTCTTCTTCCAAATAGATGTCCATTTGTTTGTTAATGTAATCAACAATCGGTTCGTAAGACTTATCTAAACAAAATTCAATTCAAAAACACGTAAATAATCAAAACGTACGATTAATGTCAAGATTGCGGCAAACCTTTGGTGAGCTGATCGTCAAAACCGCGGCACTCGATAACACCGAGATCTATGCGGACATCGTTTTCGCATAGTTCGTACCGATTGGCCACCACTTCCACTCTCGACAGGCGATGGCTTCGGGTCGAGTCGTCCAAGAAGTGGGCCCTGAATAGCGAGTCAATGAGCGTAGACTTGCCGACACCCGTCTGTCCCAAAAGCATTACGTTAAACGAGTAGTGATCGGCGACCACTCGACGCACGTACTGTTGCGCCAACCACTCGATGCCCACTCCCGGGTCCGCCGGTCTCAACACCCGTACGATATCCGCATAGACCGGGTCTTCCGCTTTCTCTTCGGTATCCGTTTGTTTGGCATCCGTTTCCTCCGCACCGGAAGAAGAGCTTAGATCCAAAAGACAACTCATTATTTGTGACAAAGTGTGTGTGAAATATATAATCAATTGATTTAAATGTAAAACATATGCAAAAACGTAATTTAAATGTAATTTAAAACCTGGTATTCGTGTAAATATGTGTCAATACAAGAAAAGAAACTCGTGGTAATCGGAGGTATATATGAGATATCATATGATGGTCTCAAAGTCCATCTCATCAGTAGTCTTCCGCACAGGTTGTATAGACCTGTGTATAAGAGGAGAAGTGGTGCTAATATTACCACATATTTCACACCTGTATTCATACAACCAATGGTTAAATAGTTTGCAAATAAAATCCTAATTTAATTTTTGTCACAAATAGTTATAACTTTTGCTTTGAATTTTGCGCTTATATATTGAAAACAAGTTATATTTCACACAAAACACGTTACGAATTATAAGGGGAGTGGAGTTTGACATTAGAAATATTGGCTTACTTTCATACATATGACGTTAGTTAAAGTGAAGGGGTGCTGGAAATAGGGTTAAAATCGTAACGTTATTTCGTACTTTGCATTACATTTCATAACATTGTGTGACGAAAAACACGTGAATTTGTTGTTATGTTTTGATTGTGTTATCGGTTTTACCGCACATTAAATGCATTGCATTTCACACAACAATCCATACAAACAATGGTCTCAACGCTCGGCAAATGTGGTCACACTTTGCAAACACTTCACCACTTCTTCAGACTCTTTGTCGGCCGTCAGACCAGATGTCTGTCATTGTCGTCGTCTTCATCGGTGGCCAGCGGTAAGTCAGACGCCGTCCAAGACATCCATGAAATGGAGAGAGACTTCAAAGTGGTTACGATCGACACGTTTGCGGACCTAATCGGTGGCGACCCGAAGACCAGACACGCCGTGGAGACCATTCTCGGCGAATACGAGTACGAGAAGTACGTGACCACAGAAGTGCCCACCGATTTGACCGTCGATGATATGCGGGATCTGTTGGCGTGTGACGATCGGCGCCATTGGATGCGCTTCTTATGCGACCGGGAGTTGCGGTCAGAGATCTACAAACACCGGCGCCGCGAGAATGGCCGCCAGTTTTGGGCCAAAAAGCGGGAACGATATGAACAGATGGCAAGCGAGCGGACAGGCATTTGGGATAATGAGCGGCGACTGGTCTATGGTTTATGGCATAACTGTTTGGTCAGCAAAATACAGCCCAAGTCTGTGAAGAGACTGTACTCGCATCGGCTCCGGAGGGCAGCTCTGTTTGGCCAGAAACTGGTGATTGATATGTCTTTTGACGAACACATGATACTCAGTGATTGTCGCTCTGTTGGCCATCAAATCCAAAAGCTCTACACTCACAACAAGTATCGTTACGACGAGCCCTTTGACCTTCACTTCACGTCATGCGACCCGTCGGACCAAACGAGTCAATCTGTGGCCAAATATTTAGTGAACTACAAGTCGCCGTACTTTGTGTCCGCGTTTCACGAGAAGCCATATCTGGATCTCTTTGCGAAGGAATCGTTGGTATATTTGTCGCCACATTCAGACCAAATACTTAGTCATTACAATAGCGATGATATTTATATCATCGGTGGTGTGACGGGTAGAACAGCGCGCACAGGCATTACCGCCGTTAAGGCCGCACACGAGGGAATCCGTTCGGCCAGACTTCCCATCGATGAGCACATTGTATGGAAAGCCGGTTGCAGTAAATTGTTGTCACTCGAGGTAATCGTTGACATTCTTCACGATCTGAGTGCTGGCCATGGAATGAGTGAATCTCTCAGAAATAATATTCCGAAGTCTTGTCAGAAGAGTGTCGAAGAGATTGAGTCCGAAGAGCGGCGACGACTCCTCAAGTATAACAAGTATCGGCAATGGAGTCGAGATGCGGGCGATGGCCACGACCTCCGGATCAGCGATAATACGTGATGTATAATCACATGTAGTCTCTCGTCAGTGGAGA